ACATGAACTATTTTAAATTAATAATGAGTACTAGATTAATATGTGTATGCTAAATTTTCTTAGCAGAAAAAGAAAGCTAATACAAAAATGTTCAATGATTGCTAAAATGTGTATTGTTTATTACTGTGGCCATGGAAATCTTAGAAATTAGCTATCTGTATGGTCTACGATGACTAATGCCATCCGAATCTGATCTACTTGAAAAGTCAAAGCATGTTGAGCAACCTCAGTTCCAACAGCAGTTGGGTATCTTACACATCAAAAAACTGGCACTCAGAGATTGTGGTCTGCCTCTGTGTCTTTACAATTAGGCTATCCAGATTACATATGCCAACTAAGTATTTACAGACTCAAATGCATAGTGAATTTATCCGAGTTTACAATTATTATAGCAATCATATTTTATGAGTGAGCAAAATAAGCAAGAAGGTATTACTTGCTAATGGATAGGGATGAAGTGGGAGTCACTATTATTAATCTATAAAACAGTGACAGGTATAGTACACACTTAAGTCACTAAATGTATATAAAATGGAATATTACATCATTCCCTTGAGCTTTAGCTACTGATTCATCTATAAAATATGAATGGAGATGTAGTTTTTTCATATTCTTGAGAAAGTTTAAATGAGATACTGCATGGAAAATGGTAAATAACAAATACCATGTAGGTATTTGTTGCTGTTGAGCTTACTTTTGTAAAATATTTTGATAAATCAATGTCATTTTCATCTTGTGTCAAATGTCTGCTCTTCGAAGAAATCATCATTGAAGCCTAGATAGAGATTTATATATGATATGTTTTCCCCATTGGGAGTGTTTTACAAGGTCATTGGTTCAGATTAGAAACTGTTTTTATATTTACTTTACCTACATCATTTATTTTACACAAATCGTCTTCCACTTATCTGATGAAGTGTTGTAATTCTCTCATTTTGAAGATTATTTGGGTACAAACCTATTAATACTGCATCAGCCTTGATCTCCTTCTGAATAATAGTTGTGGGTATTTGCCATATTTTCTTCAGTAGCAAGACAACTCTCTGTCTCTGTCTCTCTCTCTGTCTCTCTCTCTCTCTCTCTCTCTCTCTCTCTCTCTGTGTGTGTGTGTGTGTCTGTGTGTGTGATTTAGATTGATATATTTTTGTGTATTGGGAGGTACATACACTACTGTATGGGTGTAAAGGTCAGAAGAGAACTTCAGGAGGCAGTTCTTACTACTTACTACCACGTGTGTCCCTGGAATTGAACTTGAATTGTCAGACTTGTTGACAAGTACAGCTTAAGTACAGTTAAAGAATAGCTGAAACATCTTAACAGCCCTGTGTGTGTTTAGAAGAGAGTGGATAAGTGAGAAGTTGTTGAGATAAAGCAATAACAGTTGTCTGTTACAGAAAGGATACATTGGATTCCTGTACTAATGAGCTTGAGGAAGAAGGGTTGAGAGTTCAAGGTCGCACTAAGCTATACCATGAGACTGTCTCAAACCAAACAAACTAGACATTATATAATAAAAACATGTAACTGTAAATATGGGAAGAAAGTAGAATATAATGATTGTAAATTCGGTTTTAGAATCCAGTCAATTTCTTGGAAGGATCTCCAGGGATCTTTATCAAAGTTATTCAGTATGAGAAGATAGTCCTGAGTTCTTGTTTTGGCTTGGTCGCTAGCTAGTTTTGTTACCTAAACAAGCCATTTCTAATTTCTAAGTACAGATTTCTCTATGAGAAAAATGAGGCTATTACACCTGTCACTTTCTCAGCATAATTTTAATTTCGTTTTTGCTAAGTAAAATGGCTGGGGGGTAATTTCACTGGTTGTCAGAATCCAAAGGACAACCGTGCAAGGAGTGAAGGCGAACCAAACCCGGGGCACTTCTAAAATTCCCGTGACCCAGGGAACTGTAATTGTTCCGAGCCTCACGAGCTTTCATTCTTTTAAACAATCTGCTCTCACTCAGATGAAGATGATGCAAAATACATGTGTGTTTATGAGACCATAGCTGAGTCATCCAGGAAACATTCCTTGCTGACAGGATGGGTCTGCTAGTCTCGTTGGACAGGGGCTTTAGGGGCCCATCAACAGAGGAAAGTGTAGCGGGTGTTAGAGAGAGGACAGCTTGGATCAGCAGCTCCTAGTCTCTAGAAATAAGGGCTAACTTCACTGTAGTCCTCTTTCGGGGTTGATTAGCTTCTGCTTCTGCCTAGACTGGCATCGTTTCGGAATCTAGGCTGCAAAATGTGTCATACCTGTTCCCCAAACCATGGGAAATGACTGGACAGGATTAAGTTTGGTGGCATCATGGGGCACAGGACACTTCTTGAAGTATGATGAGGGCCCCCACTTCCCACCAGCTAGAAGGAGGCTTCAGAACAGCTTGGGGTTTTCAGCTGCAAACCCAAGTCTCTGCAGAAGGAAAGCAGTCAGAAATGGTTTCTTTCCTGTTCTTCAGCAACGGAGCCAGGTGAAAGGCAAATTAGAAGATTTGGAGCCAGGCAGGCTGGAAGTAGCGTGACACGTGTGAAATATTCATTTGATAATTAAACACCCGAGTGGCTAGTAGATTGGAGTTTAGTATGCTAAGGAGTGAAAGGCAATGACAAGGCTGCACATGCTCTCCAAGGTCCCCAATTCCCTGCTTCTAAGGAATTTTGTTACTGTTTACTCAGTGTTTACAAGTCGAATTGCAGGGAGTTTTACAGTATTTCACATCTGAGGTGATTTTCTGAACTAATTCTGTTTCAAGCCAAAGCAAACACCTGGATGCTTTTCTTTCCATGTGTTTCCAAACGCCTTTGGCCCTCCTGTTCCCTTCGTTTCCCCATTCTGAATCTCTGATTTTCTGGCCCTGCCTTCTGTGGTTCTGTGTGCCACGCTTGTTTTAGTTGTTAGCTCTAGAACGAACAGAATCAGAATTACAGATCTTATATCTGGAAAGGCTGGCCGATATCACCTGATCCTTATCTGCTCTTGAAGCTTATGCTAAAGCCGAGCAAATCTGTATCAAGGAAGCTGAGTCTACATTGCTTCTGACTCCTTGCAGCTGCCTATCTGCCTGTCTCTTGAGTAATCCCAGGTCAGGACCATTTCAGCAGCTGGATACTCACCTAACTAAGAATAGAGCAAATACGCAACACCTTATGCTTCATCCCTGTTGATACTTAGAGTTCTTCCCTAATCGTGATGCTGTTGGTTCTTTTCTACCCATCTGTATTCTTGTCCTTGCTATTTTAATCTATACAAGAAGAGATTTGTATCAGAATGGGGCAAAATAACAGCATGGGCACCTTTTCAGGTTGTACCTGAGTAAGCCTCATTCTGTGTCTCTCGGCAATATGCGTTAGAGCAAATTGTCTGACGCAACATCAACAGTTTCAGTTAATGCAGAATCTGTTTCCCTTGTTTGCCGAGTTGAAAGGAGGGAATTAATTATATTTCAGTAGCATCTAATAAATAGAAAGTTCAATTAAAGAGCATGGATGCTTTTGAACACACACTTTCAGCACCCTCCCTTCTACAGAAGCAGGTCCCAGACTGTATGGGGTTGATTGGAGTCCTTGAAAAACTATATATACACGCAAAAGAACCAAATCTATCTATATACAGATATAGACCCCCACACATATAGGTTATGGATATAGATACACAGTTTATGAAAACAGCAACACTTTGGAACTAAAACACAGGCTTCAAGTGCTATTCTGTTCTTTGTTCAACCTTACAGACTTTTATTGTTCCCCCTTTCTCAGGCTAAACGTTTGCTTTAAAACTAACTTGGCACTATGTGAAGGTACTACCATGCCTTTTAATGTAGTAGATTTTCAAGATAAGTGAAAGGCACCATTTAAATCTCAGCTTTTAAGAAGACTTTGTGGAAAATGAGAAACGATGCAAATCATCTATAGAATACCCCTAAATCCAAGAAATAGAAAAAAGGCAATTGGGAATACTGACATATCAACACGTCACTCCAGCTAAATACCACAAAGATAGCTATATGGCAATAGACAACTGGGTACCATGTGAGTATAGTAATTGTTACTCATTCGAAGCCAGGGAAAACACACACCATCTCTAAGTAGAACATAATTGATTAGTCTTTGCCTTTCCTACTCATACAATAAACTCGGGTAAAGTTCAGGGATTCTGTGTTCCAGGCCGGTTTCCCGGCTCCAGGTTTTTCATAAGGGAGTGATAATATTGCAAAACACTTGGCTATCACCAGGTGCGTGGCTGTGGGCCAAACATCCCTCCTCAGCAATAGGGAAAAGGACCTCCTCCCAGGCTTTCTCACAGATGCAGCAGGGAGGCCAGGATCTGTGAATTGAGCTCAGAACCTGAGTATGTGGAACACAATTGTGAGTGTTCCAGTGGCTGCATACGGTGCAGGAATGTGTCCACTGTAGAGCAGAGATCTGACTAGTACCCCCATTTTGCATTTCTGGGTTCCTTAAAGGAATCCAGGTAAACTGAACTGGCCAGCTCTTAAGTTTGAAGGTTACAAAACCAGCAAGGTAAAAGGAAGCTCTGGTCCCTGAGCCCCTATTGGATCAGCTTCTTGGTTCCCTCGTTGGAAGCTGTCCTTGAAGATTGAGTATCTTTATTCTTACACTCATCCTGGGACCATTTTAAAGGGGCCCGAGAGCAGGCTGTCCGGGAGTGGGGTGGGGTGGGAGCATAATATCTATCTCAGGAAATCACAATAACTCACTGTCTAGGCTCTGATTCAGGAGAACATTGCTAATGAAAATGATGCTTTCGGTAGGTGCCAACAGTCCTAAACCTCCAAGGCTGCCTCCTCCATTTCATGACTGTCCCAGGTGTCCCAAAACAATCTGTTGCTGGTCCCCATTTGCACCCCACCACCCCAGCCCACAATCAGCTAGCCAGCCAGCACCTTTCCGGCCCACAGCAGCTCAGCACCTTCATTCAAGCCTCATTTCCCTGCTGCTCCGCAGCAACAAATAGGACAGCACCCGTGCCCCTTACCAACTTACCCCAGGCCAAGAGCTTTCTTCAGATTTGCGTTGTCTGGAGTCCGTGCACCAGGGCGCGTGGTGCGACAGCCTTCTTGGACTCCTCTTCCGCGGCGCGCAAAAGGCAGCCGCTTGGGACAGTCCCGGGTGGCTGCCGTGTGGGTGGGTGGTTGAGCACAGGCAGAGGAATCAGGGTGCCAAGAGGGACCCAAGGACTGACTCCTACCTGGGTTTCCCTCTTTGCTCTTCAGTTACTGCCAAACTTCCCTCTGACTGACCAGACCTCCTCACCTTTCGCCTTCGCCAGTGCCCGAAACTCTTCGCTCCAGTGCTGCTTCTGCCCTGCTCTCGCTGGTCCTCTCTTAGCTCTTTCTCCCAACCTGAGTCACTTCAGACACACGCGCCCGCTTCACGCGGCAAGCCACAAACAATAAGAGCAAGGGGAGAAGCCAACACCAGGAAATTGAGGCTAACTGATACCCTGGTAGGAAGAGAAGTATGTGTGGAGGGGTGAGCGTGGAAAGGAACCGCATTCACACTCTTACAGGCACGCACCCTCAGGCTAGGTAGCTGATAGGAGCTCCAGTCACCTCTCCAACCCTCTTTTCTAGACTAAAGGTTTCTGTCCCCTACTGCTGCTGCTTCAGGAAAATCCTATACCAGCCAAGGGGAGAGAAAAGCAAAGAGGGGTGGGGAGGGAAAAATCAAGGAGTCGCGCTCCCTTTCTCCCCCCCACCCCTAGATCCCAAAATGTCCAACCCTGAGCTCTTTTTTTTCCTTCTATCTGCTCCAGGTTGGCGCGTGCGGCTCAAGTCGAGGAGGGCGGAGAGAAGAGAGAGGAACAGTGGTTGGCGAAAGCACCTCTCACCTCCCCCAGCCCCTGGCCAAAGCCTAGCTGGCGGTCGCCTCTCAGCCGAGGCGGGCGGGGCGGGGAAGGCAGGCAGGGGGGAGGGCAAGCAGGAGGACGGGGCAGCCTGCAGGGGCAGCCGCTCCTCCCAGTTCTGTAGCTCGGTGGCCAGGGGTGGAAAGAAGCCGCAAGCCGCAGCCGCAGCCCCAAGTCAGCCCCCGCTGCCCTGTCCCACCGTCTCATCTCTCCCCCCTCGGTACGGAATTTTCTGTTTCGTTCGTTTGGTTTCCCCCAAGACTCCCCCTCCCCTGGGTGGTGGCAGAGACCCGAGGGGCTAGGGGAGGCTGAGCGCGGGTGAGGGGAGCGGGTACAGGAGCGCCTCTGGCGCCTGGTTTACAGAATCTCCTTTTTACCTATTTCCCCAAGTGTCTCCTGTTTTGGGCAGTGACCCCTACCCGTCCATCTCAACTAGGGCTCTGTGTTAGTGGCGCCTGAACTGTGCGGGTCATCCTGGAGAAAGAGGAGTTGATCAGTTTGGAGCGAGGGTATGTGGCCCGCGGGACAGTGGATCAGGGGGCTCAGTGTCCTCAGGGACCTGGTATCTTCTGGAGCCGGTTTCTAGGTTTCTGTCAGGATTCAGTTTTACCTGGTGCCAGCAGCCTCGGAGCACAAGACCCAGGCTAGACTGAAGCAGAGGGTGATAGTCTTGTTGTAAGATTTGGAGCCAAGTTGCTTAGTTTTGGTCTCAGTGTCTGGGGGAAGGGTGGTGTCACTGGACACTTGGGAGACTCTTAAATCTTTGTGTCTTCAGGTCAGTTGACAGACCTCTCTGTTCAGTCCGCAACCCCTTTGTACCCCTTACCCTGTTCTGAGAGTCTCCAAATGCCAACCCTTTAAAACGCTTCTGTGATCTGCTGAATGTTTCCCCCCACCCCGCCCAAGCCCGAGACTTTTACTTCACCGTACAGGTACTTAGGTCTCTTAACCTTCAGCATCTCAAGACCCTCCCCACCCGAATGCCCAGACCTCTCTGCTTTGTCTCCTTTGCCAGCTCTGTCTGGAAAATGAACTTCATGCAAAGCGCCGCTTTTTTGGGGTTCCAAGCTGGTACCCCGAGCTTCGCGGTTTTCCCCCTGCGGGCGTTCTCAGAACAACCCCAGCTTTAAAAAAGCTCAGCGGCACAGTACTTCCCCGCAGTCCCTGGAACACACACCGTGAGCCTGAGCAGACAGACTTTCTGACCGAGCCAGGACTCCTTCCCTTGCCTAAATAGCTGAGGGTTTCCATTACAGTTCCTCTTTAGCTGGGATTGCTCGAGTTCTGTGTGAGAACTAGCAACTTTCCTCTTGTGCCACTAAGAAAAACGCTTTCCCCTTGTCCTTTGGTCTGCTAGCAAGGAGGTGGTCGAGTATCTTGGAGTACTAAGCTTTTATGTGGAAAGCAGACATTGAAGAAGAACGGTATTAATTACTGTGAGGGATTTAAGAGTTCGGAGCCTGGCAAGAGCGAGAGTAGAAATGTACTGTCTAAACACGCCAGGGTGTTTTTAAAAACTGACTTAGGGGATAGTTTTTAAGATGTGCTTGTTTCTGAGGCTTTCTGCCCTTTCGCCTTGTTCTTAGGCAGTTTTGCTGTGACCTAGTAAACTCTGACATGCAGTTTTCTATGCAAGACAGATCTATGTCGTAATTAAGAGACTCTTTCCTTTGGTTTGCAGGGTAAGTAGAATATGCTGGCTATGGACAAGTGTTTGGGGATTCCAACTTCCCTTGGCAAAACTGCCCTGCAGCTGAGGCTTATTCTCCAAGCCCAGCAAACTCAGCCAGAAGGAAAGCCCTGTTCTTGTGAGGTGGTTTCTTCAAAGTCCTCTACACAGTGTGATTGTTTTTAACATAAGGGAATAACATGTGCTTCCAACTTTTGGTGATTTTCCCATGGATTGTGGTTAAGACCAAAATTTCTCTTTTTGAGTCTGCCTCATTCAGCTTCTATACCATCCTCTAAACTCTTTCAGATTAACACATGAACAACATGATATGCTAACAACAGTTCAAAGCTCCAGGATCTACAATTCCAGAACAAATGTAGTGGATGCTCTCTTAGTATGAGAAGCTATTTTAAGGAGATGCCCAAGGCTTTGTTTGGGATTTTTGTCAGCCTTGGGGCTGGTTGGCTCACAGTCTCTGTAGATAGGATAATTATTTCACCTTTCTACTTTGGTGGCTGAGAGCATGTGTCTGTTAAATTCTTACAGGGTTGTTCACAACAAAAGGCCATATCTATACAAGAGGTGCAAAGTCAAACTGAAAGCAACTATTTGACTCATTGAAGCCCACATCTAGCCAACTTATAGGCTGGTTTGCCTCCATGACTTGTTGTATTCAAATTTCTTGACAGTTATGGCTGTCACATTACAGCAGAGACTTAACAATTTACATAATTTTTCCTTCCCACTGCCTTGCCAACAGGGGTAAATGGCATATGTAGATCCAAATTTCCTGTAGGGTAATGGACAAAAAGAGATTGATACATGGAGCCCAAAAGATTGATGTAGATAGAGTTTCTTAGTTTTGATACTATCCACATTTAGAACCCAATGCTTCCATGTTGTAGTGATGTAGTGTTCACTGTGGGAAGGTTAGCAGTGCCGTTATGTATAGCTTACAATAGGCATCTTCCTCATCCCCCCCCCCCACCGTGTTAGAGAAAACATCTCTGTATGGGATCAAATGTTCCATTAGCAGCAAATCGCCTCCATGTTGACAACTATTCTCATTTAAAGCCATGCCCTACTTTAAAAAACATATTTATCTCAGTTCAACTCACATGGCATGCCCACACCTTGTGTGTTGTACAGAGTCTTAGATAATATTGAATATTTGTGAGAAAAAATAGATTTCTACAGATTAATCAGTTTCGACAAATGCTTGGCTTCCTTGCTACCTCCACATTGCCATTTAACTTTTGGTAAGTACACACTACCACTAGTGTGTTTGATTATAGCAGAGATCTGGAAGGAATGGCTCCAGCATGAAGCTTTCCTTTCCCTGCAGAAGAAGAGGTTACTGATTTTCATAGATAACCAGTTTTTGGACTGAATTTAGCCTTGAGTTCTCATCGTTTTGCTATCTCTCCCAAAACAGTGACTTTCTCATTCAGACTCTGCCCTAGAGATATAACTCTTTGTCTTGCTATTTACCATAACCCAACATGAAACTTCTTATGACTACACCAGATATCGTGCTTGTATCTTAACAATGCGCCTCGCATCCAGATGAGCAGGGTATCATGAAGACTGTCGTCAGTTGAACACTGTGAAAGCAGATGCTTATTCTCAAGGAAGCAGCTCCTAACTATCTGCGTGTTAGAGAAAAATCCCAACAATGACAAGAGCAAAGGAAATGGAGCAGAATGCAAGAAGAGGTTGTTCTTAAAATACTGTGGAGTGTTGAAAAAGTGTCTTGGTGTGATTGTAGGTTTTAACACCCAGCACTATGTCTGCCCCAGGAAGTCAAACAACACTAAAGTGAATTGTGGCATTCTGATCAGAAATTCTGCAAAGTAACGTGCAGGAGGAAGTGTGGAATATCTGTTTTAATCAGCTGAGCAAGCGCTTGCTGTACAAAATAAGGTTTTGGTGCGTCAGGGTTGCATTTCTTGCTTTGGACAACTCCTAGTCAATAACATATAAATATGTAGAAATGTGTCACTTGTAAAGACCAACACATGAAACAACTGCCACATTTAAACTGCACATTCATAAGACATAATCCTCTTGCCAAGACTAATTATTTATTTAATGAAAATTTTGCTTGAATTAGGTCCATGAATGACTGTAATTGAAAATATATTTTATTTCCAAAGATATATTCAAGCTTATATCAGAGCAGGAACCCTGTAATCAAGACATGAGGTCTCCAGTTAAAATAGTCATTATGTTTAACAAAAGAAATGTAAATAGAAACACAGTTAATGGTTTAGCTAAGGGCTTCCTTGAGCTCAGCATTAATAAGAATGCAAGTGGAACTGGCCTGAGTAAATTTGGAAGGTGGATTTATAGAGTCACAGAATCTAGCAAAACACGAGTCACTGAAAACGATCTTTCTTGTGGGTAGGTGGCTGTAACTATTGATAAGGCAAACTCTAATCAGGTCTTGTTGCTCTATTACTATTTGCTGAGTAGCTTTGGGATTGGCAGGTATGGCCTTCGCTTTAACTGCCCCTACTATAGGGTAAGGAATACGGATCCAACATCATGCTTTTGCTGGTAGATATATAGTCATCCCTTTGAATGAACTTGGTACCTTGTCAAAAATCAATTGAACTCTTTCCTCTTCTGATTTTTGCTCTTGAAAAGAGTAAAGTTTGCCCTATCCAGACATTTGAAAATGGAAATAATTTGGTCATAAACATGTTACTTTATTTCAGAATCCTTGATTCTATGCTACTGGTCTCTATACATATCTTTCTGCCAGTGACAAACTCTTTTGATTACTAAAGCTTGCATTAAATTTTGAAATTGGGAAGTATGAATTCTCTAATTTTAGTTTATTTTTTTATTGGTTTATCTCTTTGAGTTTCTCCCAATCCCATATAGATGTGAAGATCAGTATTTTTATTTCTTAGAAAAACTCATTAAATTTTTTATATTTATGAAATCATATTCTTAGATAGCTTTGGGAATTATTTCTATTCTAAGAATTATTTCAGTCTATGTTGTATCTTTTCATCTATTTAAAAGTTTCTTTTCTTGACAAGATCTCCTGAGTAAATTGGGAGCATGGGGACCATGGGAAACGGTTGGGGGGGGGAGGAGAGGGGAGCTGAGAAAAATGTATAGCTCAATAAAATCAATAAAAAAGTTTCTTTTCCTTTAGTAGTATGTAAATATTACACTTTTTTGTTTTTTGCTATTAA